ATAAGTTTTTGAGTTATTGTTGTGCAAGCTCATTAGAATTAAAAACATCTGGTGAGATATGTTGGGTTGATTCCTTTGGCAATGACGCATTGTCCGAGAATTGAACTGATGCGGAATCAAATAAATTCGGCGATTGCGCTATTGCAATTTGCACATTTTCAATTTGATAGACGTGTCCCATTTTGTATGCATGATTATATTTTTGAATTTCCATTCTGCTTAGAAGCTTTATCTACGAATCCATTATTTTTAGGTTGGGTACTAAACTTACAAAAAAAAGACCATATTTTCATCGTTTGTTTTGAAACCTTTTGTATTTAATAAAAACAATTAACTTCATAAATAAGATAACAAATAACAAGATAGAACGCTACAGTCGAGCAAGCCCGACAGTAAAATAGCCTGTACTCTCCACAAAAAGGAAAAATTAAAAAAAAAAAAATTAAAAAAAAAATTAAAAAAAAATTTTTTTTAAAAATGAATGAATTAATTAATTAAAATAATTAATTAAATTAAATTAGAATACATGTTTATGTTCAGTTTTAACATCACGTACCTATGCGTGTTTATATGCGTGTATGTATGCAGCACAAAGTTGAACCAAAGCAGCAACAACAACAGCTGCGGGCAGCGCTGCCGACAGAGCTCTACCAAATTTTAGTTTAAAGTTCCAAATTACGGGAGTTATAGAAAATCGTTAATAGGTGGGGGGGGGGGGGGGGGTGGATCAGAAAAAATGAACAAACTCGTCCTTTTTCGGGCTCAGAAGAATGCGGATGCCATGTTTGGTTATTCTAGCTCTTAGACTTTCTGAGATCCTTGCGTTCATACAGACGGACAGGCAGGCAGACGGACATGGCTGTATCGACTCGGCTTGTCATCCTGATTAATAATATATATACTTTTGGGGGTCTGCCACGCCTCCTTCTGTCTGTTCGCACAAAACTAGTATAGCCTTTCACCCTTTGGGTACAGGGTATAAACATTTTCGACAAACGAAAATAAGTAGGCATTGAATTCGTCTTTCGAATACCGAGAGAGGTAAAATCGATTAAAATTTTTTTTTTAATTTACTTCATTTTTTTAATTGTTATAAATATTAATTATTTTAAATATATGTATAGAGTATTTCAAAGTCGGGACACCCAACTTTAGCCTTTTTGCTTGTTTTTTTAATGAAGTTGACAAATCTTTAAATGTAAGAAACAGGTTTCCCTTGACTATACTTGTAAATTCTGGCCTGATTTGCAGAGAGCTTTTCAATTTTGCAGCTGAATGTAGTTTGGATTGCTTTCCATGGTTACATGATTAATTAATTTTTGAGCATATTGCTCACCACACTCAATTTGTTTGGTAAGTAAATATTCGAATCGTTCTGACACTTTCGTCAATCGTTTATGCAGTTGTATGAAGTACTGTATATTATTAGTATATGTATTAATATACCATATAAATCTATATGTTTTATTCAATTCAATGCCATCAAGTCATTTCGCTTAACCGCAAAACGCACATTAAGGCCCAATTGCTATGCAATTTTCAGATTTATTTACATTTTGCAGTATCTCATGAATTATTTGCAATTTTGCAATTGCTGCATATTTCATGCATGCGCAGCATTAATTGCAATAATTTTTTCATAATTTATTTCTCAGTGCCACTTCACTCCATTTTGAGCTGGATGTGTGCAGCGGACTTGGAACTGTGTCAGTCGTTCAGCTGGGATTGACATTAATTTAGTTTTTTTCGCAGAGAGCATATAAAATAAATGAAGTTTTTCGAGTTGCAAGCGGCAGTTTAAATGAAAATGAAAATCATGCATACATAGTCCTACATACATACTACGTACTATTTGAAATGCCATAAATGCACGAGCTTCGTTACGTTTATGCCAACATATTAAAGTCCACGCTGATTTTTTTCTCTCACTATGCAATGTCCGTTTGGCGTTGTTTATAATTTCATTTACACTACTTTTGTTGGTGCAGCCACTTCCGCCCGGCAATAAAATTAACTGCAGATTTAATTAATTGTGGTTGAACTTTCGGCTCCCTTTTTATTGCTTTCTGTGTGTTGACTTTTTCTGATTGCATTTTCATAGGAAATCAGTTTTTAATCAAATTTGCGCAGCGACAATGAAAAGCACAAAATAAATAATTTAATATAATTTGCAAACAGCAACATCCAAATTAACAATTCTGTTAAACAGGAAAGAAATTAATTTGCTTGGTGTATTGATTTTTTCTTTTGTGTTTCAAAAACAGTCCCCTATCTTAATTTGTTCCATCCATTAAAAATTCAAATTGTTCCCTTTCACTCGAAGTTTTCCAGCTTTCAGTTGAGCGATCGGAGGTTTAACTGTGCAGTCGTCCCTTTTATGTCACATATTCTTGATCAACATTACAAGAGGAGTTGCTACATAATTGTGCTAACTGATTGTATGAAAGTTCTTTCGAATGCATACAAAACTGGATTCACCAAACTTCCAAACAAGGGCATTCTCCTGGAATGCGATCCCTTGTAATTAAAGTCTTTAAATTAGATTGACGTTACCATAGTAAGCTGCCTAATGCTGTACCCAATTATTGAACTCTTATTCAACCAAATTTTAGTTTTGATTGTACATAAGTATTAAAGATATTGATCTCATAACAATTAATGATGGAAATAGAACAGTTCGTTCTAAGAAGGATAAATAAAGGGTGTCTGTCATATTCTAATGTATTGTATCGTATCATATTTTCTGGTCAACTCTAGAAACATACAGAGCAGCACAGTAGTAATAAAAGGAGGCTTAGTTAGTTTCGTGAGATGACAAAGTTGTAATAAATGAGCTCGGAATTAGGAAGTGATGATTCAAACTCACAAAGTTGCTTGGTGGCGCTGCTCATAAAATTTCTAAAGAAACGACGTGTTTTTATCCCCTAATAAAATACAAATAATCAAATGCTCAAACCAGTTACAACAGCGAAATCAAACGCTTGCCCAATTAGCCAGTCATGTAAGCTCAAAATGTTACCGGCACTGGACCTTTCCGTCCACCTGGAATATGGCTCGATAGCCATTAGGCCCAGAGCGCTACACGCTTCACCACTTTAAGTGCTTGTTGAGATCCATAAAATTCGAAATCGACACGACCTATAGCTCCAACAAGCTCAACGAACGGAAAATGTACACTTTGAGCTCGTAATTTTTAATCAAGAGGGATCCGAAAGAACACCATAATCCTAACAACACGCGTAAAAGTGCAGGTGAGGCCATTTGTGGCATGCAATTTGTATTGTCTGCTACTTTTTTGCTGCTAAGGCCTACACGCGTTTAAATACCGCCACTAGATTCCATTGAGTCGTTAACTTTGCGCATAAATAAACAACAAAATGAGCTGTTATTAGGAATGCTAAGTAAATAATAAAACACAACAACAGCACAGTAGACATGCATGAAAACCTGGTTTATATATTCAAACGACCAGAAATAAATGCTAATAATTAAGACCGCATAGTAAAAGTGTTATCAGCGAAATTTCGGAGCTTTGGGACAACCGTAGAATGAGCTAATTTGTAGCTCGTTTTATGATCTGGGCCAAAATCTTGGGGAAGGAATAATTAATGCAATTAACTGAACGGCCCAAAGCAATAAATTTGAAAACTTTCGTTTGTTGAAATATTAATATGGTGTTAATGTCTCTCTGGCGATACTGATAAAAGAATCTAACTTAAAATTAAAGGGTTTTTTTCTGCAAGAAACTCAGCAACAACATTTTCAATGAAAAATAATGTCCCCCCTTCCATTTCGTCAATCATAATTGTTATTAGATGGATATGTTATTAATACATAAGCCTTCTTTTCAATCCAAATAAATCAGTCATTGGTAAAATAATAAACTTTGTATATCAAACAAATTTGAAGGCGGTTTTTTATTATTATTTATTTATTTTATTTTATACTTTACAAACTTTTAGCTTTTTCTTAGGCTTTCTTATCTTTTAAGTTTAAAATTTAACGTTGTATTATCAAAAATCTTTATTTTATTTTATATATAATATAAATCATAGTTTTTGTATATGTATCGACAGCACTATTTGTTGATTTACTAAATAAAATAAAAAAGCCCTTTACGTTTATCTAATAAACGGCTCCGACTCGATTGTATTCGGATGGCATTCGGAAGGCTATGCATAATCAACATTTTTAAAAATACGCTATTCAGATAAAAAAAGGTTTATCAGAAAAAAGAAACTAAGAACTAATTAATTAAATTTTAAAGAATAAGCAGACGAAAAGATGTATATAAAAAAGGAATACCTAGCCCGATGGGGAATGATTTACTAGCCGGCAAGCTATGTCCCTTCTTACAGCCGTATGTGGTTCCAGAGATTCTGGAAATGACTGAAAAAAAAAGGATTTTAGAAAGAAAGGACTGTATATCCACTAAGCCAATGATATTTATGTATGCCAAATGTATATAACAGGCAGAAGAAGTTGTGGAGTGTTATAGAACGTGCGAAATCTGTTCAAAAGAAAATGTGAATGTTGAATTTTGAATACTCGCGGGTGGCGTACATTCGATTATTATTCTCTTTTTTTTTTAAATGTTAGTACACATATGTATGTTTACCATATGTCGGAATTATCAGCCAATTTGGATTAGTAGTTAAAAAGATTAGTCACGTTTTTGTATATTCTTCGAGCTTAGACTTCTGATGTTTTTCAATCAAAAAACAAAAAACCACGATATATTGCTTGCATCCCCCGAAAGCAATGATGGTAAATCACAAATTTTTGGGTACATCATGAAAAATAATTTATATTTAAATATACGATAAAAAGGAAATTGTGGACCCACGATAATGGAGGAATAAGACGGATGGGCGTAGAAGAATGTAGCTATTTTACTTGTTTTATATGTACTTTATGTGTACTTTTGAATTTCATGTCAAAAATACAGTTTTTAATCCCCAAACAAAAGGCATCAAAATTTTTATGAATACAGTTGAATAATGTATTGAACGAACAATACGATATATATATTTATTTAACTTTACTACTAAAAACAAGCGAGAAGAAATAGCGGCAAAAAGTGTTAGTCAACAATGGCGGATAAGAAATCAAAAGGCGATGGAAAGCAGAACAAGCAACAAAAGGTAAGCTTTTACATAAGGTAAAAAATCTGAACAACACTTAGTGCTAACATTGGCGGCTTTCTTAGGGTCCTCTTTGCTTTCTTACTTCTTTTGTAAGCATCGTTTTTTACAGTTTTTTATTTCATCATTTATCATTATTCTTTAGGATTGGCGACAATTTTGTATTGCATATGCGAATTATAAAAGGGCAACTTATAAATACTATAAGTATTTTAATCGTTTTCCCAATAATTTGGAAAACATTTTTAAAGTCGTTATTTTTAATCAGTTGATCGGGTTAAATGAGTTTATTTTCAATGCCAATCAAAAGATTCTTTAATAGTTTAATAATCCGTGGAAGTAAAGTAATGTCAAGTATCTGTTAGACTTCAAAGGACGTTTGGAAAAATGCAAAAAGCTAGTAAAACTTTCAGTAATTAACGACAAAAATAACGCCTTTTTATAACAGAGAGGATCTAAGGTTAAAACCGAAGGCGGAGGTGATGCCGATGACTTCGATGCCTGGATGAAGTCTCGCCAATTAGTAAAACCAGATGATCAATTAGAGTTGACCGAGGCTGAACTCTCGGAAGAAATAACAAAGGTGTTGACACCCACAAATACTAATATCGTTCGGAATCTGGTGATTTACAGCTTCAAGGAAGGCGAATATGTTCCAGCTCCATTACCGGGCAATACGGTCACACTATTAAGTTTTTCGGGAAATTCGCTACACGTCGATTCAGAAGAGGCGCGACGACAAATCGAGGAATCAGATGAAATTGGTGACAGCACAATTATATTGTAATTTTTGAAACGTGCCTCATTTCCTTTATTTCTTTAGGTTATCCACTGCCAATGCCCAAATTTTCAGTTATAGAACTTCGGGAGTCTGAGGCTGTGGATGCTGAGGAGGGGCAAGAGGAAGGTGAGGACGAAGATAGGAGAAGTGAGGGTAAGCTAGGCCAAGAAGAACAAGATAGTGAGGGTGAAGAGGAAGAGGACGAAGGAAAGACAGCAGAGGGCGATGGGGCGGAAGGTGAGGAAGGACCGGCCGAGGCTGCAGCTGATGACGAAGAACCGACTGAGCAGATGCGTATGGCAGCCCCGGCGGGCAAGAAACGCAAGCTTATTAATCAATTCAATTATTGCGAGCGAGCCGCTCTAACCTTCAGCTACCCAAAGCGAGTAAGGCCGCACCCAAAAAAATGTCTTGTATACTCAAATAAACAATATCTTAATTCTAGAATGTGGACACACAAACCATTCCGCCGCCACGCTCGCAATATGGAAGTAACGTCTTGCAATGGGTCATATACGATACATATTTGGCTGACTTCGAGGAGCAGCAAAAGGACCAGTCCACCAAGCATACGGACCGCAAACGCAGTCTCCGGCAAAAGAAGTTCAAAGACAAATCCGCACTAGCCGAGCAACTGAACCGCAAGTATCTGAAATGCTGGCAGATACTCGAACGGATGATAATCCAAAATATATTCAATGACATTGCTCACGACTATCGCTATTGGGAGGATCCGGCCGATGAATTTCGCGAGGGAGAGGGAAATATGCTGCCGCTTTGGAAGTTTCAATATGAAAAGACAAAGAAAATGTGCGTTACCGACATATTGTTTAATCCAAGCTATTACGATCTATTCGCTGTTTGCTTTGGCTCGCGTAAGTACGCCCTGCCTCTTTCTCGAATATGGTCTAATGTAAACCTTCCTTAGATGACTTCACGAAACAGCTAGACGAAGGTTATTTGTGCCTGTTTACTGTTAAAAATCCATCCTTTCCGGACTACATAAGTAAGTTTGTGACGCCATCGACTGTCTGACTACTTTTGAATACTTTTTTCCGAAGTTCAAACCGATTGCGGCGTCATGTGCTGCGACATACACCCACACTTTCCTTTTCTTGTCGTGGTCGGGCTATATGACGGAAATGTGGCGGTCTACAATTTGCGCGAAAACTATCGCACTCCGCTATATCTTTCCAGGGGAAATAATTGTAAACATGAGGAGCTCGTGTGGCAAATCAAATGGGGTCCTGATATGACGGACGGTGAGATCAACTTTTTTTCAGTGTCTTCCGATGGTCGTGTGCTTTATTGGATACTGCAGCAAAATATGCTTTGGGTGACGACATTAATTACGCTCTATCTGGAAAACGGTCTGGTCGATGGGCCTGACGGCACAAAGGTTCATCTTAAAAGTTGCGGCTGTTGCATCAAATTTCATCCTGTCGAGCCAAAAATATTCCTAATTGGCACTGAAGAAGGCCTCATTTACAAATGCAGCACCACCTTTAATTCCAAGTATTTGATGACATATGAGGCGCACAACTTATCCGTTTATAGCATCGACTTCAATCGTTTCAATTCCGATATATTCGTATCGTGTAGCGGGGATTGGCGCGTCAAAGTGTGGGAGGACATGCGTGCCGAGCCCCTGTTCATATTTGATTTGGGATCCGCGGTCGGAGACGTGAAATGGGCGCCCTATTCAAGCACAGTTTTTGCGGCCGTAACCACAGAAGGCAAAGTGCACGTATTCGATTTGAATGTGGACAAATACAAGGCCATATGCATACAGGCGGTAGTTCCCAAGCGCAAGAACAAACTGACCCGTCTAGCTTTTAACGAGAAGTTGCCCTTTATAATTGTGGGAGACGAGAAGTAAGTAAATGTAATCTCATGTAGGCCATCAAATGCTATACTCACTTAACTTTGTAGGGGTGTTACCACATCCTTAAAGCTATCACCGAATTTGCGCATGATGGTCAAGCCGCCGAAGAAACAGCTATATCTCGATCAAAACACATTGCAAATTAGCAAATTAGAAAAACTGTTGTCCTTGGTGCGTGAGACACCGGGAGAAACCACACCGTCCACTATGGGCGCCTAAGCGTTATTTTCATTATCACGGAAGGAACTGTATAAAATTGATGATCGTTAATTTCAGATTTTGTAAGACTATTTATTAATGTGTTATGAAAATTACGTATACGCACTTTTTCATCCTGCGAAAAACTATTTTTTTCACGGACACCTTTATACTTTACTGTATCTAAACTATCTAATGGAGCACAAACTTTTACTTGTAATGAAAGACAACATCAGCTAAACCCTTCTAGACGGCACCGACTGATAGTATTTGCAGAGTATTTTCGTATGTACATAGTTGGTTGACGGTGTCCAGCTGAGATCACATATCAGAGTCGCACAACCCAACTCTTCAAAAGTTAAGTTGTCTGGCTATGATTTTTGATCAAGGCTTTAAGGTGAGAGTTGGATCAAGCTTTGCTGATGCCAGAATTATATCACAACCAGAAAAGGTAAAGTCCAAAGCTAAAGACTTTGACATACTCTATGTCTATGCGGGTCTATGTGAGAGCATTTGCAGAGTAGACTTGAGCATCAACAATAGTAGTAGCTGCTGAGCACAAGCAAAGATTACTTTAAAGGTTAAAATTTCTCTTTAAAATATGCCTATCCTGATAACTTACGGGCACATAATCACTAGGTGGGTGTATTTGCCGAGCTTAATTGAAAACTTCCAAGAATTACGTGAGTTAAAATAGAAAATCGCTAATTTCGAGGGAGTAGGAAAGGACGAAAATTCCGAAAAACACATTTTCTGCGTATTCATATAAGGCAGGTGGGACTAAAATTTCGTGTCTTTAGCACTTATAGAGTCCAAGATATAGATTATAAAACGAACGGCGTTAAGAAAAATTCCCTATAGTGTGGGAAGGGGTACATACATAAGGCATCTCTGTGAAAAGTTTAGGGTCTGTAGCTCCTACAGTCTCTGAAATATAGGTGTTCATACGGACAGACAGACAGACGGACAAGTAGACAGATAGACAGGACAAGGTCGACACATCTTGTCATGCTTCATCAGCAATATATACACTTTGTGGGGTCTGCGTCGACTTCTTCTTCCTCCCCCAAAACTAATATACATTGTACATTTTATTTTATTGGTGAATTTAAATTGTGAACAACATTTTTAACTTTTGAAATACTAAACTATCGGTATTCATCTCATGAACAACTTTGGAGATGCTCGTTTTAAGCGAAGCATGAATTGAACAGGAATTCATAAATTCATATTCATGATTTATATTAGTATGCATGATTATTGGCAATTCAACCTTATCAATCTGTGTCATCTGGCTTCTTCAGCTCCTTACTGCTGACCTGCTATAGCATGTATACTTGTACATATATGTATTTACTACACTGATAAAAAAGTTGCATAGTACGGATGAACATTTTCATATTAAATTTAATGCTCACGTACATTTTTCTAAAAACATATTCAATTAGTGATTTTAATATGAATAATCAAAATCAAAATAAAGTGTAAAACTTCGTCATTAAAGTGCGTCTTATTCAATTTAATGTTGATCCATATTAAATATTAATATACGCCCACTTCAAAAACAAATTGGTAATTTTACTATATTCCATAGTAAATTATAATGTTTTTCTCAACTTTAATTTATTAATTTATTTTTCATCCTATATCCGTAATTAAAAGGCATACAAAAACACCATTAAACTAACTTTCTATTAAAAATGTTTCTATAGAAAACAAGTATACAGAAATAAAATATGCCTCATGGAAATGTCAATATCGAAAAGAGTTAAGAACAAGTAAAAAAGCTAAAGTCGGGTGTCCCGACTTTGAAATACTCTGTACATATGTTTACAATAATTATAGAAAATAAAAAAAATTAAGAAAATAAAAAAAATTCAATGATCGATTTTACCTCGCTCGGTATTCGAACTCACGTAAAGGGTGTATAATTGCACATTTACATAGCAATTGCGTCTGTGTGAGTGTATGTATGCCTATGCGCATCTATTCGTGTCTGTGTAAGCATTTTCGCAGTCAACCAAACAGCAACATCAACAACAGCCGCGGGCAGCGTTTGAGCAGCGCTGCAGCAGCAAATATATTTATGGCTATAACTTCTTGGTAAATCGGTCTATCATAGTGAAACTTGGCATACGGACACATAATTAATTAACTGGGGGTATTTACAAAATTTTAGTTCGAAATTCCAAGAATTACGGGAGTTAGCGAAAATCGCATTAGCGGGGGAGAGGAGGGAGGGATGGAAATTTTAAAATATACATTTTCTGCGTATTTTCACAAGGCACCTTGGACTAAAATTTGGTGTTCCTAGGTCTTATGGTCTCCGAGATATAGGCGATTATACGAATGGAAAATCGGGAAAACCCCCATAGGGGGGAAGTGGGGGGAAAATCAAAAATATAAAACAAACTCGTATGGAATACACACATAACGCATCTTTGTGCAAAATTTTGTGTCTCTATCTCTTATAGTCTCTGAGATCCAGGTGTTGATACGGACGGACAGACAGACAGACAGACAGACAGACAGGGCTAGATGGACTCGTCTTGTCACGCTGATCTGCCTGTTACATTTTTCAGCTCCCGCAAACCTAATATACTCTTGTACATTTCATGTACAGAGTATAAAAACCCGTAGCGTAGACAAAAAAAGTGGGAAAAATATTTTGTAATTATAAACAAGATAGAACGCTACAGTCGAGCAAGCCCGACAGTAAAATAGCCTGTACTCTCCACAAAAAAGAAAAATTTAAAAAAACAAAAATTTAAAAAAAAAATTAAATTATTAAAATAAATGAATGAATTAATTAATTAATTTAATTAAATTAGAATACATGTTTATGTTCAGTTTTAACAGCATACATTTTCATCGCGTACCTATGCATGTTTATATGCGTGTATGTATGCAGCACAAAGTTGAACCAAAGCAGCAACAACAACAACAGCTGTGGGCAGCGCTGCCGACAGAGCTGCAGGCAGCGCATGAGCAGCGATTTTACTTATGGTCATAACTTTCTTCAGAATTGACCTATCATGATGATGGCATACGGACACATTAGTACTAACTGGATGTACCTACCAAAATTGATTTCAAAATTCCGAATTACGGAAGTTATAAGAAAAAACACGAATTGCGGGGGAGTGGGGGGGTGCATCGAAAAAAAAACTCAAACTCGTACTTTCTCGGTCTTAGGAGAATATGGAAACCAAGTTTGGTTATTCTAGCTCTTATACTTTCTGAGATCCTTGCGTTCATACGGACGGACGGACAGACGGACGGACGGACAAGGCTATATCCACTCGGCTTCTCATCCTGATCAAGAATATATATACTTTGTGGGGTCTGGCACGCCTCCTTCTGTGTGTTACATACATGCGCACAAAACTAGTATAGCCTTTCACCCTTTGGGTACAGACTATAAAAATAAACCTTTGGCGTGAATCAAACCCACGTCTCCACGTCATCACTTGTGATTTAATATTGTCACACTTTAAATTTAATATTTTAATATTAAATTTTTAAATTTAAGTACACACACACTTCATATTTAATAAAACACACGATGGTGCAAAATCGATAGTAAAAATAGTTAAATCAACGTGTAAATATTTTTTATCAGTGTACAAACATTAAAACGCACCTCCCTTGAGGCGTCAAAGTACGGCCGTAGCTTTTGATTTGCATTTCCGCCTGTCATTACAGTAAGTTATTCAAACAATGCCCAGAGTTACTGCATTTTCGATTCGATGAGGCAATTAAAATAATGATGTGACCTATAATTGAACCGGACGGCTGCTTAGCCGCACAATATGAATTATGCATATTTATATATGTATGTGCATACTAGATAAATTTGTTAGTAAACATGTTGACGACATTACTAAAATAAACTACATTTTCTGTACGTGCTTGTTCATGTGTGCATATTGCAATGCCAAATATTTGCCCCAGCTGAGCGAAAAGTAATGACATTTGTTCAAATATGCAACATGCAACCATCGTCTGCCAAACAGTTGTTGTCAGTTGTCATTTGTTGTACTGGTGGTTGGTTGTTGTAAACACACACATAGGTTATTGTTGTCCTTGCATGTACATTTTCTTCATCAATGATTAATGGTTTTGACACTGTCGACTGGGGCATCCATCTGTCTAGTCGGCCGACTCTACTCCGCATGGCCAACATTTGCGTGGCAAATGTATCTAAATCCGTGCCGTATTGTAACTACTGGAAGCTATAACATCGGTTGTGGCATCATTTCTAGCTGTTGTCGTGGCAACATACAACAACTACATACCACGTAGTGAGGAACGTCCAGTCATCCGGGAAGCTTTAGGCCCCGACAGTTTTGCGGCATTCTGCATTTGACATACGCCAACGCATCTACCTAAATTGATGCATGATTTTGGCAGTCCGAAACCGCTTTTCCACCAGCACTGTACTGTACACACACACTCACGCATAATCTGTCGGATATTTGAAGATTTATAATATGGCTGATGACCGCGCTCTGATTCTTTTAAAGTTTGTGATTTAACGATGATGTCGGCGTACCCCACACCATGCTAAGGATAGAAGAGTATGTTTAAATTGTATTGACGAATCATCATCAAAATCTATTCATACGGCTATCCATAAGCTGCAATTTGCTCCCCAAACCGAGATAAGAACATTGAGAACAATACGCCGAAGTACAAGAGCTAACTATTTTTATACCCTTTACCCAGGGTAAAAGGGTATATTAGTTTTGTGCGAGTGCACATGAAACACACAGAAGGAGGCGTGGCAGACCCCACAAAGTACATATATTCTTGATCAGGATGATAAGCCGAGTCGATATAGCCATGTCCGTATGTCTGTCTGTATGAACGCAAGGATCTCAGAAAGTATAAGAGGTAGAATAGCCAAACTTGGTATCCAGATTCTCCTACGCCCGATAAATGACAAGTTTGTTCATTTTTCCCGATGCACCACCCCACTTCCCCGTTATGTGCAATTTTCTATAACTCCCGTAATTCTTGGAATTTTTGAACTAAAATTTGGTAGTCACATCCATCATTTAGTGATTATATCCGTATCCCAACTTTTATTATGATAGATTGATTAGAAAGAAAGTTATAGCCATATAACCAGGCCCAAGCTCTGTCTCTGTTACTGCTTTGACATAATTATGTAATGCACATATGAGTCTGCTCGACTTAAGCATTTCTATCTTGTTTTTCGATGAATCCGTCCACTCCCCCGCTCTTAGTGGTTTTCCATAACTCTCGTAATTCTTGGAATATAGGACCCAATTTGGCAATTCCATCCCGCTTGTAAGTTATATGTCAGTATGCCAAGTTTCATCATAATAGGTCAATTATAAAATAAATCAATAAATGTAATATCTGCATAAGCTCCGCCCGCAGCTTTTGTTGTTGCTGCTTTGACTTATTCCTGTACTGTACATATACATGCATATACACACGCATAGACACGATTCTGATGTAAATGTATGCTGTTTAAATTGTACATAAACATGTCCCTCCACTTATGTACTATATGCACAGTGAAAACTCTCTTCACGGACACCTCTTTTATCCGGACACTCTTCGGCGGACACTTTTTCTAAAACTTTCGATCGGTGTATAAAGTATTTAAGTATCCCCTCAAGCGGACACTCCCCTTGGGCGGCAAAAAGCCTGCTCGACTCTAGCATTCCTTTCGTGTTTTAATTGAAAATATATATTTAAGAGTGAGCCCGCTCGACTCTTGGTTTCCTTTCTTGTTTTATATAAAACAGGATGGTTTGATGCAATTACAAGTATGAAATTAAATGAACATCTTTCGACTCTGTACTAAAAAAGTTTACTAAAAAGTTTTTAGGAAATTTATGTTTCTATATTTCATGAAACTTGTATTTTGGTACATTTACACAGTTGGTTTTGTTCCGATGATTTGGTTAACAATGTGGATTTAGTAATCGCGCATATAGGACAACTTCTCGCTAATCTGCAACTGATTCTTCGAGAGCATGGCCATTGTAATGCTCATGAGCATGTCGCGGACGTTGGCATTAAACATAAGCTTAAAGTTTTCGGAATCCATCAACGGCACAGAAGTCAGAGCATCGTGTAAGGCCCGACCGACGACATTGTCTGGACGACGCTTGCGCGCGAGCACATCGTTGATGTACCGGAGTACAAAATCTAACTTGTGCTGCAGCTCGCGACTCGCATCCACTACGTGCACAAGCTCCGGAAGCATACGCCCGTACTTCGATGGCTGCTGCGAATGCTTTTGCATAAACTTCAGGGCCACCCACTCCTTGCTTGTGCAGCTGTACTCCAACGGCAAGAGCGAGAACATGATGCCCTTTGTGCCTCCTGGCACGCCGATTTCCACAGCACAGTATAGCCGTGTGTTAAAGCGGCCGCCACGCAGCGTAGTGTCCACCAGAAGTAGCACCGGTTCGTCGCACTCCCTTGTATAGTAGTCGTGAATGGCGACGGCTGATGGGCTAACGAGCTTACCGGTGCTGTACCAGCCGATGATTTTCTCCTGCGGATAGGTCAACTGATTCAGCTCGTACATATCGGTAGCGTATTGCACATCCATGTCCACTTTGCACTCGCCGGCGTGCTCCTTGTGGACCAAACCAAAGCTATTGGTGATCTCAATGCGTCCGCATTTGTCGTTACGGCCCAGCAGGGTTCCAATTACTTGATTGGCATCCTGAGGACGGCGTTCGTAGGCATCTATGATTTGGAAGAGCACCAATGGATGCAAGCGCACCTTAGATTTCAAATTGTAGTTCTTCGACGTAGAAAGGGACATTTTAAAAAGTGTTTGGCAGTTTTAATTCGACTTTTAACGAACCAGAAGATTGTGAAAAAGAGGGGGCACAAAACTTGAACTTGGCTGCGCTTTTTCGGCATGACAATGAGTCAGTGTTGGAAAAGGTTGTCAATGGCATCGTTGATTTTGAATATACAACGTTAATTACATTTTAATAACAGATATCCTCAAAAAACGGTAAATTATTTTTTGATTTTGAACAGATTATCAAGCCTCAGATGTTCAACAAATGTAAAAATATTCTACTTACATAGACACAAACCACACCAATATTTGTGCTATTTACATATCGATACCGAGTACATAGAAAATATCGATGTGCTTCACGTGCTGTTTAAGGAATGGATCGATAAAAATATTCAGTAGAACTACAAAAACATTTTGTTGTAGTTTACATCGATCTTTTTCGGGTTTGAAACTTTATTTATTTATTAATTTGTTGTGACAGTGCTTGTGGACAAATAAAAAAAAGAAGCGCTATTTCAAAATGAAGTACACAACAGAGACGTGTGGCCACGAGGAGCATTAAGAAGAGTACAGTTATTGCGTTTTATTAAGAAAACATACGTTTATGTAAATGAAAAGCTTGCAAAGGGCTGAATCTTATAAAATGGAAAATGCGAACAAATGCGATCTTGATACAATTTTCACTGTTTTAAATAGTCCCATGGTAAGACCACATTATTTTATTTCTGATAGATAGATAATATTACCTGAGCTAGGAAATCCGTGTAAATCTATACGCGTACAAACATATGTACATACATACATACATATGTATGTATCTATGTAGCCATATTTCTGTCAACTGTTGCCGACCCAGGGGGTGGGTGGTTGATGGACATAAGCAACTGACTTCAAAGTGTCAAAGATAAGTAGCCCTGAAGAAGTGTGTGTGTGTTGTGGGGGTGGAGGGGCTTTATGAACATGTAATGCATAATGTAATGCACGTGCCGAAAGCAGCAGGCGTTTGCAAATTTAATGGCACACATGTGTTTAATTTGAGAGTTGGTCGCGGAATGCAGGAAGGTGCAGCAAACATAGACTGTACATTTACACCCAAATACATGCATTATTTAAATGTACAACACGTACGCGCTTTGAACTAATGCTTGAGGCGAATAACTGGCCGGCCAACTGGCCAAGTGGCATAAAATGCACTTGCTCTGGGCTTGAGCGCATAATTTATGGGCTCAATGATAAGCAAATGTCGAATGGCACGCGTTTACACAGGGACAGTTCGTGGTTCTAATAGGTACCACGTTTTTGCCATAATGGGCAGCGAAAATTAGTTTAAGCGCCTAAAACTATGCTCTACAGTTAATGCCACAATTTATGCGAGCGTGACAGCCACCCAGCTGACTTATCAACAACAGCGACCAGTCATCGAATATCCCCCGCCACAACAAACAAGCAGCCACCCTCAATGGCAACGGTAACTAAGTCACTTGGTCAGCGCTTCAGTGAACCCCCAGGAGTGGTTAAGTAAACGGACATCAACTTAAACGACACTGACACACACAGATAAATAGGAAGTGAGAGAAGAAGCGACTGGGTGCCAATTTTCTATTGGAGTGCACAGAAATTCTTCTTTGTACAGCTAGCAATGTGACCCTTCTGACAGTGGTAGGATTACGAGCATTGTTGCTGTTGTTGTGCTCCCTGACAAGGGTCAAGCGAAAGTTTACGAGCACTTGCAGGCATTTAAACTACAGTAAAAGTTTCATTGAAAGGTATTTAACGTTGGCTCTGGCGCACATTTCACTTTTTTATTTCAGGTTTAATTTGTTTACTTGGCACGGCTGCCGTTGCTAAGGAAATTGGTCAAGGTGGTGCAGGAAAAACTAATAGATTTATCTGATGAAAGCTGTTCGTGTGTTAGGCTTAAAGTGTGAATTGGAAATGGCACTTTCAGCTTTTCATTCGTTTCTGTGGCTGACAGAAAGAGCAAGGGGTGATAAATAGTGAGGGAGTGGAAAGAACGCTGATAGAGGGAGTTAGCAATAGAACAAAGCTACAAGTATGTGCAATTTGATTTGTATTAACTATGATCTTTCAAAAAAGTAGTGTTAAGCTTTAATAAAATTGAATGCTAGAGTCTAGTGGGGCTAACTCTTAAATACCCCACAAAAACATAAAAATAAATTATTCTTATATATTTGTTAGTTAATTTATTTGAAAAAATACCGTTTTTTATTGACAAATTCAAAGAATTACGGAATTTATGGAAAACTAGTATACCCTGTACAATGTTTATAATCGTTTGAGTTTTTTTTCATCCGATTAAATTCTGATCCACAGATTGAATTAAATCTCACATTTCTTTTTAAATACAATTGTGTACAGGCTTCGACTGCTCCAATGGCAACAATCGCCGTTGAGGCACGAATCGCAAGCAACCAGCTTTTTGGTGGCTGTCCGATGTTGACTTCATTGCAATTAATTTAACATTGCCAACTCAAACATTTTAATCAAATGACAGAACCGAAAATAATTTATTTGGTGAACATAATTTACAGCACACAGGCCGTTTGTCAGTTTCGGACGTATTGGGCACCAGTGGATGGCAGAAACAGGCTTTGGCCGCTGCCAGCGCACTAATAGATTTTAAATGCGGCTGTCGCTGCCAGCAATAGTCGTTGGGCTCGGGTGGTAGGCGGCTAGGGAGGGGGCTAGCGATAAACGGGACAAAATAAATTGTTCAGTTGCAGTTGACCAGGAAATGGGTTAACAGCCGTCTGGCTGTTGTGACAGCTGCAATGGCTTATGGAGATATCAGCAATAACTTGGATATTTAATAAATATGAACCAATTTTTAAAAACTTGTTGAACAATTATAAGATGCGGATAGCTTGAAACCTATTGTAGCCAACATACTCTACATTATATTTTCCTGTACTATCTACACATAATGCAGGTTTGATACGGGGATTTTTATACACTGTACCCAAAGGGTACAAGGGTATATTAGTTTTGTGCGAGTGTACATGTAACACACAGAAGGAGGCGTGGCAGACCCACAAAGTATATATATTCTTGATCAGCATGACAAGCCATGTCCGTCTGTCTGTATGAACGCAAGGATCTCAGAAAGTATAAGAGCTAGAATATCCAAATTTCTCCTGAGCCCGAGAAAGGACGAGTTTGTTCATTTTTCCCGATGCAACCCCTCACTCCCCCCCTATTCACGATATTCCTTAAATCCCATAGTTTGATATTTTGTGCGAAATCTATAAAAGCAGAGATATAACTATAGTAAAAAAAATTAATGCACAATAGATTATTGATTTATTAACTAAAATTTGGTAGACACATCCAGTTAGTAATTATATATCCGTATACCAAGTTTCAGTATGATAGGGTGGTTATAAAAAAGTTATAGCCATATAACCAGGCCCAATGCACACATACATACATATGTACAAGTACACAAACACGCATAGACACGATTCTGATGTAGATGTAAATGTATGTATGCATTTATGGAATATTTTATATTTAATTTAGTTAATTAATTAAATTAAATAATTAATTAATTAAATTAAATTACATTAATTAGTTTTTTTGTGGGGTGGTACAGGGTATTTAAGAGTTGAGCCTGGTCGACTTTAGCATTCCTTTCTTGTTTATATGTCACGAATACGGAAACAATGGAACAATAGTTATGTATTTGTGGCTCATATTGCCTTTAAGTTATTAAGGTTGTATTTCTACGAATGATAAATAACTCCACTTGGTTCTTCTGCGACTGAGGTGGCATCAGCAAGTGTAATTTCCGCTTGCCATGTGGCCAAATGTCACTTCAATTTGCGACTGCAACACATGTGTCCAAGTCGACAGGCCAGACACACGCTACGCAGTGCATTCAGGAGCCCCTTCCCCTTCCCCCACCCCTTACTTCATCGTCGCCTGCGTCAGAGGTGCGTACGTGTCTTTGTCGCTTATTAGTTTATTGTGGACTCGCTTCATGTCCAAGAGGAAATTAAAATAATTCAAGCATTAAATTCAATTTCAGTTTCCAGCTACAAAAAAGCATGCAGATGGAAAAGTCCAATGATAATTCTTAAATATGCTCTTGTACACTCGTGTATACATACATATGCAAGTAGTGTGCGGCATATAATTATAAAGTATTCATATCAAAGAGGAATATTTTAAATGCTTAAAGAACACATAATTTTTGTCGCCAATTAAATTCATCCAATAAAATGAAAATGAAAATGGATCAAAATCGGAAAAATCAGGGTGGTACAAGATATTCAAGATTTGGGCTGAGAGGATTTAAATGTTATTCTCGTTTGAATATAGCTACGAGAAATTAAGTAAAAGAGTTTAATCCGTTTATTATAAGAGCGATCAGTTGATCGAAACTGGAATATAGTAGGTGAAGCAGCAACAGATCCTTCCTTTGAATATTGATGAGACTTTTAAATGGCTTTTCTGGTTTCGAGACCGACGACAGCCTTCTCGTGAGGCATTGACGTCAGCTCAGCATTTACTCTGTCAGCCCCAAAATATTGATTTCGCAAAAAAAGGCTCAGAGTTCAGGAGTTTGATATTTTGTGCGAAATCTATAAAAGCAGAGATATAACTATAGTAAAAAAAAAAAATTAATGCACAATAGATTATTGATTTATTAATAAAGTGTGTCCCGAATCCAGGTCCAGTAGAGACTAGTACTTAGATCGCAGTAGCTCCAAACATAAATGTTACCAAAAATCTGCTTACTTTTGCAGAAACTGCAGGTTTAATGACTTAAGACTATCAGATGTAGAGAATAGAAAAAAAAAGCAAGGTATAAACAAGGTATGATACTTTACCTGTTTAAAAACGGAATTTATATCGAAACAGAAACTGATAAAAAAAACCAAGGAACACATTTTTCCGATACTGTATATGGTTTTAATGATACTTTCAAATGGTTCGTTTGATATGCTAAATATCGAGAAATTTTCACTTAATATGGTTTAATAAATTCGAAGCTTTATATGCAAATATTTACCAATTTCAGCTCCGCAGTATTCATAATAGTCGTTCAAATAAGTAAAGAGTTATGAATTACTACTGATATGGGGAGTCAAAAAAAACCTTAAACTTGA